GTCCGGACGCGGGTCCGGGTCCGGGCTAGTCAGGGTGTGTGCCCTGACAAAGGTCCAAGTCATCAGAGTGTATTGTACTAGTTCTTATCGATGGGTTCGATGACGAAGAACTTCCATCACTGCTGTCATCAGAAGGGTCTGGCAGGGTCAATTGTTTGGCTAGGAAAGAGGAAGGGGGAACTACGAATGTTGAAGCTCTAGGCACTTTCAATGTCATATAGTTTTGTATGTCCGCTTCAGTCTTGGACTTCCCTTTGGACTTGTCCCTTCTAGGTGTCATCAATTTGCGTTTAAGGGCCTTGTGTTTGGCCAGTCTGTGAGACACTAGTCCGTTGACGATAGTCTCGGAGTCAGCATGTTTCTCAAATAGTTTACGGACTTGAGTGGATAACTCATCTGAGTCCTTATTGTCATCGTAGTCATTGATGCCCATTGATTGTATGGGTGGTTGTCAGGGCATACACCCTGACCTAGCCCATACCGCATCCACACCCGCACTCGCACCCGCACCCGTGACTGCACCCAGCTGTTGCACTCCCCGCGCGCACCCTGTGCCGGATGCTCAGTGCGGCCGGATGGCCCGGACCTCGGGCCTCGGGTCTCATGTGACTTCCGGATATCTCCGGAAGTTTTCGATGTATTGTGGCCACTGTGGGAAGATGAGAAGTTAACTTCCTTCTCATCTCTGACCCACAGTAGGCAAGTTGTATATACTTGCCTCTCTTTTATATACCATCTCTGACCCACAGTAGGTTGTGCCCTGGACAGGGCTAGTTACACCTAGGACTGTGGACCATAGGGGAGGGTCATGGGGACCCGGGAGTCGTCCCCTGACAGTGGTGGGGTGGGCAAACGTATCTCACGTCCTTTTCCTTTCTCTGTTGATGTGGACGCACGAAGGGTTTGTGTTTTGGTGGCTGAGTATAGTCGAGCACTTCCAGTGTCAGAATGGGTATCAGTCCACAGATCTGGCATTTGCAGTTCAGGTTCATATTTTATTACCTGTTCTCTAAAGCGAAGTATCTTGTTAAGAGCCTCATCGGGCATCGCAAGTACGTCCGATAGTGAGAGTGTTTTCATGTTGAGTTGGGCAATGGGATCGAAAGAGGATGAACTCTGGGGAACAGGTGGTTCTGGTTCACCACAGTACCTTGTATGTAGGTTGGAGTCACTTACAATGGACATGTTTTCTTCTCTGCTCGAGGCATTGCTAGCTTCTGTGCTGCAAGCATCTTTCACGAGATGGAAGTCCTCCATATAGTAACAAGAGGACATTATGGGGCTTGTCCCTGTAACTGCTATTCCCATGCTCTCCATGGGGCTGGTCCCCAGAGCAGCTGGATCTGCACATCTTTTCTCTACGGGGCTGGTCCCCAGAGCTGCTAATACCGCGCTCTTGACAGGGTTGGTTCCTGGAGCTGCTAGGTATGTGCTCTGATTCTCTACAGGGTTGTACCCCAGAGCCACTGGTGCTGTACTCTCCATGGGACTAATTCCCGGAGCTGCTAGCCCTGTGCTCTTTAAAGTTGGAAAGCTACTCACCAGATATGTCTCATATCCTTTGTTCTTGTTAGCTTGTCCTACATCTAGATCGAGTCCTTTTGTCGTAACTAGATCGTACTGTTCACTAGGTATCTTGAGAGGCAGCTTGGTATTCTCTACCGACAGGCTCCCATCATGCACAATAGGTTGGTTAGTAACCGGTTCTGGTGCCAAGGCGTCTACTGAGGTTGATCAGCCACATCAGCTCACCAGTGAGACATAGCCTCGACCACTCCTCAGGTTCATCATTGCATTGCAACTCAAGTCATTAGAGGTGGGTAAAGCTTAAGGTGGCCAGCCTTAAGCTTGGGATTCAGAAGTGAGGGTTAGATCGGTTTAGATTGGTGTAGATCGATAATAAAATAGGAGCTATCGCATGTAACTCAGTCTTGTTATGGAGAACTAATGTATTAAGATATTTCACCTATTGTGCATAACTGTAACATGAAATACAATGAGTTATGCGCAAACACAGATAGGAGAGAAATGGTATCACCTCAGTCTCGTTATGGAGAACTGAGGGAGGGAGAAAAATTACGGCGTCCAGCATAACTTATATGACTGGTGCCAATATTGCTTAACACAATTGCCAGTGACAACTGGAAATATAAGACAAGAGAAAATTGGGAGCACATGGTATTGCGACTCTGAAACAAAAAGGATATAGTCATTGTTAGCCACGATGATATTAAGTTAAAGTAAAAACTCCCCAATCCTCACTGCACCTTGGCTGTTGTCAATGAGTGTTGATATTCCAACAATCAAGAGTGTGTAGGTAGCGAAAAAATGTGAGGGACCTTAACGTCAGCAGAGGCTGGTGATTGAGTTCAGGTGGTTAAGGGACTCATGAAATCTTAAGGTAATCGAAAGTCGCTGAACCAAAGTCGAACTCGATATTACACTAGGGAGTGTAAAATACAAGATCTCTGCTTTTTCTATCTACTAAGGTTCCAGCTTATATACGGTTCTCTATGCTTATGTAAGCTTATTGCTTACAATATGGAAGTCCTACATAAGACCAACAGTGTGAGCTGTAAGGCAGACACCGTTATAGCATGCAAATTAGATAGCGAGAGTTACGCTGGTCGTAATCCGAAGCATGGAAATTCGGCCAATGGTTACAGCCAATTCCAAAAAAATCGGCCATTTTGATTTCATCGAAAGAGATCTAGGGGCACTCATTCTCTGCCAGAAACGGCAACTTTTGAGCACAAGGCAGCAAACCCAATGGTACCGTGGAACTCCCTCTAAAAAACATTGTGTTTGCATACACTTGCGTCCATTTCTCCCCCTCTAATCAGCATGGGGAAACATCTTGAGTGCGCTAGACATCCTAGTCTTCATGCCCTCAAAAACAAGTCCGAATTTTGTGTATCAACGTCACCAGACTTTTTGTGCATCGCACATGAGGGCTAAGCTATGCTCAGAGCATGGAAGGACTTGTATATACATACATGTGAGAAGTCCTCAAAACAAGTCCCAATCAAGCTCATCATCAGGCTTTTCTTCCTGACTGACTTCGCGCAATCCTTCGTCAAACCCTTCATCTGAGTCTGAATCGATATGCATCACTGGAAGATGCGGCGCGCGCGTGTGTGTGGATGGCTTGAATTTGAGGATATTGTGAGCGAGTCCGGAAACCCGAGCTTGCCATAGTGTCGCGCACGAGAGTGGGGATGGAGTGAGACCAAAGACCCCGGCGCTAAGCGGATCCATCCAAGTAAGGAAACCCCTTTCGTGGGGCGTGATCCGGCCAACTTTTTTAGGAAGGAAGAACCTAGATCTCTTTCGATGAAATCAAAATGGCCGATTTTTTTGGAATCGGCTGTAAATAACCCGTTGATTGAGCTCGTCGAGCATGAGTAAACATGTAACTCCATACAAAGGAAAAGCGCATGCATATTGAGCACTGCTCGCTCGGTGCAGAACAAGACCTGTGCAGAGCGAGTCTAGGTTGAGCTCAACTCTGAAGAAAACTCTGCGAACGGGGTTGCTCTGTGAATTCGGCCCACTCCGTGCGAATTACATGCTCCGACCCATGGCGCGTACTTAACATATATCTGTTGTTGAGTGCCGTGCTAACTCCAAATGATTATCCCTTCGGACAGTGCTTCTGCCCTGTAGGCTCTGTAGATATATCGGCCTCCGTGATCTTGTTGTTCACTCTGCGCATTCCCTATTCATTGTGCCTGCAGCGGGCGACTTGAGGGACGCAAATACCTGCTTGTTGCCAGTGTGACGCTTTTCAAATGTCTTGTTACTCAAGTACATGGGCTGCTCAAACAACGTCATCTTTGCTAACCGACAAAGCCAGCTGATCCCATGTTCACAGATTCTTTGTGGCCCAGCCTACAGTGCTCAGGCTGGTCGACCTCCTATGAGTGCCGTACGTGATTCCCCGAATGCACAGTCCTATGCTTTCCGCTTTGCCCAATAAATTCAAAGCTACAAGTCAACGTGGGCATGAGCGTGGCGTATGTTGGATGCAGATTACAAGGTAAGGTGCGAAAAACAATATTCGATCGTCGTTGGGATCTTCTCCATAAACACTGCATGCTTACTCAGAAAAAGGATGATACTCATCGAAAAGAACCAACTCGGATTCGCCACGAAATCGAACAGCACAAGGGACTCCATCCGATTCTGAGTAGGATTCTCCGTCAATGGCTGATCTTGATCCGATAAGGCCACGCAAAAGATGATGGAAGTGACAGATTCAGAACAGTAATCCGCTTTTCACGCTTAGGGCATTGATCCGGTCTACGTTGAATATGCTGAAGTGACGAAGGACGTGAGGAAGGGAAGGGGGTAAATCGTCATGTAACACACGCAATGCCGGAAGGGGCATCATACTAAACCTTGCCTGCCGTAATCCCGTCGTCATCTTGGCCCTTGCCGCCAACACATCCTGCACCTTCTCCCATTCCTGCTAACAACCTATTACTTGTATCAGTCCGCCACTACTACCACCTCCTCCTCCTCCTATGGAAGTAGAGCCCGCAGACGAAAGACCTGACGAATTGGGACGACGGCACGGAGGGAGAGAAGGGTCGGACCAGAGAAAAGCGAAAAGTCTAGCTTTCCGAAGGATAGGAAGAGGAGCGGTTGGGAAGAAACAGGTGGGCCTTCGAAGGAGAGGATTGATATATTGGAGTTGGTGGGGACGTGGGAAATGCGCCGAGTTTGCCGAGTCGAATCCGACATACAAGCCAGCCACCATTGACGTCAGCACAACTTGCCGGACTTCACGCTCCATTCGAACACAATGGCGATGATTCGACAGGCACATGTTACTTCTTGGCAAGATGATAGTATTTATCAGCTTGTTGTGCCTCTTACGTTTTTCCCCAAGTCACCACCATTTGCCAAACCTCCACATCATCGCTTATGCAGTATGCAAAAACACGCGTAGACCAGTACATCAGCGATGGGCGATGGGAGGAAAAATGTGTTAGAGAAAGAATTTGATATTGAAATTGTAGGATGTAACCGTGATTCATTGTAGGTATAGCGTGGCCAGTGAATGTTGAAAATATTGTATCAATAGAGGCTTGCAATCAAAAATTGATTCTCGAGCTGTGGCATGGGCAGTGGCAAAGTGGGAAGCGCAATGATGAGGGGAACGCGTTCAAATGTGGACCATTTGCGCCTCGGAATAACGTCCGAGATTGGAAAGAGCATTACGTAGATTCTCGACTGATTTGGCCAATTTTGGGGTGTGTGCTCCTGGGTTAATGCCAACTAGCTGGCGCCAGATTGTGACACATTCTTCGATGAATGGGAGTGCCTCCGAGTGCTGTCCGAGATGCGAAAGAGCATTATATAGATTGTTGAGTGACCCGGCCAAATTCGGGGCATATGATCCTGGGTGAACAGCAAATAACTGGCGCCAAAGTTTAATGCTTTCTTCGAGGAATGGGAGCGCCTCTGAGTACCGTCCGAGATGCGAGAGAGCATTATATAGATTGTTGAGTGACCCGGCCAAATTTGGGGTGTATGATCCTGGGTGAACGGCAACTAACTGGCGGTAGAGTTGAACACTTTCTTCAATGAATGGTAGCCCCTCCGAGTGTTGTCCGAGATGTGAAAGAGCATTATATATATTGTTGAGTGACCCAGCCAAATTTGGGGTGTATGATCCTGGGTGAACAGCAACTAGCCGGTGCCAGAGTCGAACAGTTTCTTCAATGAATGAGAGCGCCTCCGAGTGCCGTCCAAGATCCGAAAGAGCATTATATAGATTGTTGAGTGACCTGGCCAAATCTGGGGTGTATGATTCCGGATGAATGGCAACTAGCTGGCGGTTGAGTTTGACACTTTCTTCAATAAATGGGAGCGCCTCCGAGTGCCGTCCGAGTTTGGAAAGAGCATTACGTAGATTGTTGAGTGACCTGGCCAAATCTGGGGTGTATGATCCCGGGTTAATGACAACTAACTGGCGGTAGAGTTTAACACTTTCTTCAATAAATGGGAGCGCCTCCGAGTGCCGTCCGAGTTTGGAAAGAGCATTACGTAGATTGTTGAGTGACAAGGCCAAATCTGGGGTGATTAATCCTGGGTTAACGACAACTAACTGGCGGTAGAGTCTGACACTTTCTTTGATGGATAGGAGGGCCTTTGAGTACTGTCCGAGATTGGAAAGAGCATTATGTAAATTGTTGAGTGACATGGCCAAATCCGGGGTGTATCCTGGGTTAATGGCAACCAGCTGGCGCCGGAGTTTGACACTTTCTTCAGCAAATGGGAGTGCCTCCGAGTGCCGTCCGAGTTTGTAAAGGGCACTATATAGACTGTTGAGTGACTCGGCCAAATGTGGAGCATAGGAACTTGAGTCCACAGAAAAAAGGTAACGGCAGAGTGCAACAGAATCGTTTGCTGCCTCATATGCCTCCTGGAATCTTGAAAAAAATCCCAAATTCCAGTGAAGTCGAGTAAGCACATTAGTCAGTGTGCCGACAGCATCTTTCGACCTGTGGACAACAGCCAGCTGGATAAGATCATGAGGCAGTTTCATTAATGCAATTTATCGATAACCCATACCTTAGCCCACTCAGGGAGTAAAGAGATACTGACATAGGTTTCCATTCTCACACAAACCTCCATCCAGCAAGTTGCTTCCTGACTCAGAAACACAGCAACTGACCCAGCAAGCTGCTGTGTCGGTTCCTGGACTCCGCTGAGATGATGGATAATGTGGCAACATGCATAATGAAAGTGCTCAGATAACTCGTTTGGAGGAATGGGTGGCATTTCATCTTTTTCAGACACGTTTTCAATCAATCCTAAGCCCTCTACAGAGCAGAGATCCTGGTTCAGGATCTCGATACATCGCAGGGCAACCCTGGCATTCTCTATCCCCACAGTTACTGGTCTGCAATGAGGGCTGATTGTTTGGGAATTGATCCGATTGACAATAAAATCGCGGAAAGATTGGTGCAAGATGCGAACCGGAGTGTAGTGATCCTCAACTCCTGAGAGGAGAGGTGCAAGTTCAGCCAACACATATCGAACAGAAGACTGGAGGAAAGGCAACAGAATTGTATCCCAGGCTGTCATGGACAGAGGCTGCTGGGCGACGAAGATTGCTCCTATCACAATTGGGTAATCGTGAGCAAAATCTTCATCCTCCCAAGCACATTTCTTCAAAATGCTCGTATACAAGTCATCCATCATCTTCTCGGCAGGGACCTCTGGTCGTTTGGCACCAGTGTCAAGCAGACTTTCTAGTGTCCTCATAGGATTCTTTTTGGCCAGCTTCATGTAGCGAAAGATGGTGCTGATCCAGGTAAACAAGCCATTTGCTCGTTCCGAGATCTCCTGTACCATTTTATCCTCGTCATGAAGGCGATGCCGTAAATCCGGATGTAACTTTTTTAGCCTTTGCAGCTGGAAGCGTATGAATCTAGCACAGTCCTGCACATTTGCCTCATCCAAGAGATCAATAGTGAGACGATCAATAGGGTAATCGGGGGAGAGGTAGCGATTCACGAGATCAAATTGTCTCGATGTGATGAAGAATTTGACGGAAGATGGTAGCATAGACACTTCGTCCCTAAGGATTTCGGCAAGGGGCTCAAACACGTCTTCGTCACATTCATCCAAAGCGTCGATGATTATCACCATAGGACGGTCAGGAGGTGGAGGTTTATGGAGCAGAGGTGGAGCGACCAATTCCTGGAATTGCGTGGTGAGTGAAGCTGTTGAAAGACTAGGGTCCTTTCGAAGAGCAGAGGTAATGAAAGTGTGGTAAACGGGGTCATGGTCTGCCAAAGCTCGAGCTATGCCACTGAATAGAGAATCGGGCCGCGACTGTTCGCCCGCTTTAAAGAAGAAGAGCAGTAACAGGGTAGCATCACTAGCACATCGTTCTGCTATCGTGAGTGCAATCGAAGTCTTGCCAGCACCGGCCACAGCAGTCAACAGCATTAGCCGGTTCTCGCTATCCCCGGTGTTGTAGCACCATGCCATGATACGTTCAGTGAGATCAACCCTAGTGCCCTCCAGGCACGCCTGAGTGGAACCATCATGGACAATAGGGCATCGGAGACTATCGAGAATTTTGTCGTCGTGTATACGATGTTCTATCACCGCTAACTTGGCACCCGTTATCAACTTCGTCCTAACCTGCATTTGCCAACAATCAGAACGGTTATGGGACGATACTGTAAGGAAAGCTACCTGGAATAATGCCAATGCTTTGTCAAAATCCTTCTTCAGGTCATCAATTCTTCTCAAGGAAGAGAATGTTTTTCTGTTAATCGATCGTTTCGCTACTTTTTCTCGTTTTTCAATTTCGGACTTAATCTTCTGTAGCGCGCTGGGACTTGATGTAAATACCATATCGAAGACCGCCGAGATACGGATTTACCCATCAAGATCGGTGACACTTTCCACCCATGACATTGCTTCTGATTCTGACACATCGCCGGACTTTATTGCCGAAGCAGCATCGGCCATGGTCGTTGCCACGTATTCCCCGAAATTAGTCCATTCCCTAGCGTTCTCCTTGAAGTTCTACATAACGCAAACCGGGTGAGCTCACATTTGCGAACAAGCGTGAATCATTACCGACTTTAGCCTCGTCGAAGATGAAGAGTGCAGCACCAGTCGCATTCTTTATGGGTGGACACCAATCTGCGGTAGTATTGATGCCTCTAAGAGTTAAAACCGCCAGGTCACCCCCTGCTGCGAGATTGTTGATCTTTTGCCTCGGAGTTTCAGCCTCTTGCTGCAGCGATACGATATTTGTTTCTCCTGTCTGCACCGTCTTTAGGGGATCGGGCGATACGCGCGCCAGCAACAGGCCGGGCAGCGGCTCCAATCCAAGGATACCATCTTGAGCTTCAGGGGAAATAGCAACCGACGCATCAACTCCGGTGTCGAAGAGTTCAGGCGTCAACTCCGGCAACGACTGAACCTGTTGGAAGTCGTGAGAAGTGGAAACAGGAGCTACTTGTCCATTAACTTAACCTTACTGGCCACTTCCTTCGGATCCGTACTATCTCCGCTCAGTGCGAAGGGTGGGTCTGCCGGGCCGTTGGTGGGCCCTGCTGGCGGTAGCGCCTTGATTTTAAGGTCGGGCATCTCGAAGCTTGAAGATGAGTCTAGCTCGGGACAGGCGTCTACGAGTGATCCAAAGGCCTCCCCCATCGTCGGTCGCGCATCAGGAGAAACCGCACAGCAACTGGATAGTATTTTCTCCACGGGAGAGGATTGCTTCCAGTCCCAAGGCAATCGACCATCTCTTAACGCATCGAATAGTTCGGCATCCCTCTTAAGCGAAGGGAAGGGCCTTTTATCAAAAAGTATCTGCTTAGGTTTCAGTCAAGTGCAAGGAAGTCATATTCGCGAACTATAAGGGTTCACCATGATACAAGTGCAAGCGAAGGAGTAAACATCACCGAATGTCGTCTTGATGCCGCTGTCAAAGACTTCTGGGGCGCAATAGCGCGAGGTAAATGCAGGTCCCGACGATGTATACCCTGTCGTTAATCCGTCCGCAATCAAAGATAGCCCGAAGTCACACAACTTGGCACACCCAGCCTCGCTGATCAATATGTTAGGCTAAATGGTATCGATTACTTTAAATTGACTTCGCGGACAGTGCATGTTGACCTACAGGCTTCAGATCGCCGTGGACTACAACAGGTTTACGTTCGTGGAGGTAGGCCAGACCACAAGCGACATCAAGAAGCTATTCAATCATGCATCTTCGGTCCAAAAGACTAGTGTTGTCGCTGATATCACTCACCAGAGGCAGCCGACCGCAGGTCGGTTTTTCATGCAGATATTCAACAATATTACCATTTGAGCACCATTCGGACACCAACGCCGCTTCTGGTACTGCACCGCGAACTTCAATCGCAAAACCGATGAATTTCGCGATATTTTCATGGTCTAAGTCCTTCCACGCCCTCATCTCTCTCTTCAGATGCTGCAACAGTACATGGGCCTTCGATGCTACCAATCTAGCTAGGAAAGGCCCTCACCTTCGTGGATTTCCTTATTTCCTCTATAACAGACGGCATGTTGCTGATGGGTGGTCTGAGAACTTTGTAGCAGACCTCAATGGAAGAAGTGAAACTAAACCCTCAACATGTCAGTTCAAGAGAACATACATTTACTGGAGCCTGGGTGCCAGATTGGAACCATTCGGCACGATAGACCTCGGAGTAGCCGCCTCGTGCAATCAGAATCTTGGTACCAAACTGATGACTGAGATTCTGAACATCTCGAATTGTGGATAGGGCTGCCATCACGACTGACGAAGCAGAATCCATGGCGTAATTGACTAGGTGGGAAAATGACTGCCTGGATGTACAGGCGCACCAAAGTGTGCGTTGAGAGTAGGCTCCCTACAGACTGCTACAGCTAGAGCACCTAGTTATACGAGATTCTCGGAAGGAAAGGGCTCGGTTGATGAAGTTGCAATCGAGATGTCCAGCCAAAGGAAGTTGGACACGCTGTGTGGTCAAACACAATCACATTGGCCGCCTATATGTGTCGGATTCAAACACGAACACGTTTTTTCCATGTGGCCCATCCACTGGAGAACGCGAGAGGCAAACCCAAAAGGCAAACAATGAAAAGCTCGTATGCGCGCGCAACACATTCTGCTTGCGCCTCGTGGCTCCAAATGTATGTCCGGTCCGGCATCCGGGGCGTCCGATCATACTTCCCTCCCACCCATGAATCGAACTGGGCAGGTTACCAGCCTCTATTGGAATAGAGAATCGGACCAATCGTGAGTGATTGTGCACTTCCCAACCCATGAGAAGGAACATGCAAATTATCTCCTGTCTTAGGCGCCCACCCGACTAAGAGTACTAGTGCGCATGTTCCTATCCAACGGGATTTGTGCGTCTGATAATGAGTACATTCCTTATATGGGGGACTAGGGGTCAGAGGATTGAGAGTGCTAGCTCTCCTCAACAACCTCGAAGCCTGTATTTACTATTATTTGTATAGACATTCCTAATTTAAGTGTTCACCATCATCTTGTCCGACTGCTCACGATTGATCTTCAACTATTGCCTACGCACGATCTGTCACGCGAAATGATTCGAAGAGATCGTCTCATCTCAAGCTTCACTCTCCGAGTAAGACCCGCAGCCCAAGTCAATTTGACGTCACCTTCCACCCGAGTTCACGACCGTCCATCCCGTGTAGTTTTACGCGCCAGAACCAGCATACCCTTTCCCCTCAAAACAGTCCCATTCTTCTTCCATCTCCGGCCCAATGTGTCATTCTTCGCGTTCGACTTAGGCCCCCTCGATTCTCAAGCCTTTGGGGCCGATCGCTCGGCACCACATACCCCTACGACCACGCAACTTTGGCCAACATCCGGCCTGAACCCTGCATTCGTACGAGGAGCGCTGGCAACCAGATCGATGACTCGGAGCGACTAGCTTGGCATCCCTCCCGGTTATTGTACTTAATTAAGGACACTTTTGTTTCAAACTACTGCCATGGGGTTCTTACACTGCTTATAATCCAAGTGTGAGAAAGGGTTTTGGCCTTTCATCTGTTCACCTTTGATGCGGCCGCTCCCTGTCAGCTCGTCTCAGTGAGCGAGATCGAGCAAAACCTATTGACTCAGACTGACGAAACGCCCAAGTTATTGCCGCTGCTGCCCTTGCCAAAACCCATTTGCTATCACGCCTGTTTGCTGTCAAGCCGGCGCTCTAGCCGTTGTGTCGCCCCTCTGCGTCCCGCTCCACCTTCGCGGTGCTCTCCTTTGATCTGATTCGTGTTTCGTCGTGGTGGCTTACCTGCTCTTCGCCTGACTCTTTGTTTGCTTTTTTTTGCTAATTGATTCACTTTTGCTCTACGTGGACCGCTCCGCCTGTCTCATCTTCCTCGCTCTCTTCTTGATTCCGGTCTACTCACCTCATTGTTAACTCTTTCAGTTGATATTTCATGTTGGCTGCTCCACCACGTATTCCGTTTACTCTCTTTCGCCTCGTCGTCGTCTGCCCCTCCATGTACTCCGCGTACTCTGCTTGCCTCGCTGTCGACTGATTTTCCATGTATGCGGGTCACGCGTTGCTAGCACCATGGCCGTTTTCCGCGAGAAACCTAGTTTAGTTATGTAAATATTGTCTCGAATATGCACACACATCTTCATAAATGGATTGGGAGTGTGCTAAAACTCAGTGTTGTACCGGCAGCAAGGACGCTCCGCGAGCACTCTGGTCCAGTTTACGATTCGAATAATTGTTCAGACGTCCTACCATTCGAAATTTCTGTTGGAAATCGCAGAACATGCCAGCGAGTTCTGACCCTTTAGGCACAGACTTTTTAATTATAATGACTCACTATGATGCAAGTACGGGCAAAGGCGTAATCGACGAATGTTGTCTTGATGCCGCTGCCGAAAACTTCTGGGGTGCAATAGCACGAGGTGAGTGTAGGTCCCGACGGTGTATGCCCTGTCGTCAATCCGTTCGCTATCAAAGATAGGCGGCCCCGAAGTGGCCTCGCTGATTAATATGTTGAGCTATGTGTTGTCGATTACTTTAAATCGGCTTCGTAGACAAACATCTTCGCCTACAACCTTGAGATCGCCATGGACCATAATAGGTGTTGGAATTCAAGCTTGAACCATGTATTCACACATGTTTCTGTCGAGAATTCTACTCAAGCGGTCTACTTATCATCTGGTCCGACACCCGCCCCATTGTGGCATATCCCTATGGTTTTCTATAGAAGGTAAGTCAGACCGTGAGCGACATCGAGAAGCTGTTCGATGAGGTGTATCTCTTCGGTCCAGAAGGCAAGTAAACTGATAATTGGAGTTCTGGACATCTTGGAATGTGGATAAAGCTTCCATCACGACCGGAAATCCACAGTGATCTGGCATATCTAGCGTGTAGATGTACATTTGAGACAGGATCCGAGTTATCGCCGTGGACCAGTTCGTGATCGAAACGTCTTAAGGACACCCCTGCGTGCCCAATCACGATGGTGTGTCGGATTCAAGCAAGAATACATTTTCTCCATGTGGTCCATCCAATGGCAGATACTCGAGGCAAAACAACAAAGCTCGGCACACCGGAAGTAGCTGACAGTTTTCCGCTTGAGCCTCAGTTGCTTCAGAACCATAACTCTGTCAGACACCCTGGGCCCAAACCTTTATGCCCGGAATAAATCGCAGCGTCAGATTCAACGTGGTAGTACCGTTGATTCACGATGAATTACGTACCTTACTCGTGGGCACAATTGTCACGTACATACTAGTAACATCGATCATGACTTCAAGTCTAGATTTCTTAGTACTTGATCTCCTCAAATCGAAGGTTTACTAACTCTTCCGGTACGCGCTTGTTCAACGCCACAGCGTGATCCGCCGGGCGAAATATAATTCCTAGCGTGGTAATACTGTGGACACGTCACTAGGAACCAGCTTTGACGTAAGCATTTGGTTTCACCCCATAACTGGTATGCACTTTTCCAAAACAGAGAATAGATTTGTATCATATTACGATCAATCCCAACAACGCCTAGTTAGCACCATTGGGTCTTGACAATTGCGAGTAAAAAAGAGTGGCTTGAAAAGGCAAAAGGAACGGAGTTTGAGCATGCACGAGTAAATGAATAAAGCGTATCCGTTTTATAACACAATCCGAAAACGTGGAGAATGAGCGTGGTGTATGTTGGATGCAGATTACAAGGCAATGAGCGCAAACGATAATAATCTCAAGGATTAGTCAAACGTAGATTGGGAGCGTGATGAGTTACTGAAGGAGATCCGCAAAGACTAATGTGTTCAACGGAGAACTCTATGATCTGGGTTGCCCGAACAGGGACATGACTTTCTCGGCTCCAACCTTCATTTTCTTGTTGAAAATTTTCGGCGGTTCATCAATCTCACCTAGGGGGTTCAATCCCTTGAGGGTACCATCTTGAGCAATATCAGATCTGGATTGCGCCAAGGCAGGGCGCGTGCCCGAATTTTCGTCGTTGACGGAAGTCCCCGAAGAACCTGGCATCCCGACCGATTCTCGAGACAATGCAGATGATTTTGACTTAAGAGAGGGCTAGTTGGGAACTGTCATAGAAGATCTTGTGGCGCGTGACGTCGGTGCGAGGGTACAGAGGTCACGCCTTTATTCGAACTCGATGGAGAGGAGAGCAGTCTGCGCACGGATGATGTGCTTGGAGTTGGAGATGAACCAATCGGCAATTTGGCAGGAAGGAATTTGGTGGTGGTACCCTTCCGAAGACTGAGACCATGTGTTCTCCCTCGCTTCTTAACTTCGGGCAGTGCGGGAGAGGCTGTCGGGTCTGGGGTTGTGAATGGTGTACGTTCTGAGTCAAGAGGAGTCCGGTTGACTCTCGATCGCGTGGGGGTGGACTTTTTGAAAACAGCCAGCCGGGATCCATTAACTACTCCTCGTCCGAAAAGACTCGTACCACCACGACCACGACCAGAAGGTCCGTTCGTCTCTTCATGGCCGGGAGCTTCCAGTAGGTCCCAATCATCATCATCATCGCCCTTGCTTCGTGGTGGCACATCAGCTTCTTCGTCGGCAAGACCTTCATCGGAATTCGAGACAGCGGGCTTCTGGCGCCTTTCCTTGCGAGAGCGCTTAAATGGCAGAAATCGGGATGCATTAAACAGAGTAGGCGTGGCAGGAGACTCAAACCTGAGGCTAGGTGGAGGCGAAGGATCGTATGCAAGATCTCGAACAGGTGGCTTCGTGTCATCAACGGTCTCCCCAAGAGCCGCCTCCAACTCAGCGGCGGCTGATATAAGTTCTGCGAGTAGATGACCTGGCTCTCCTGGCGGCTCCAGCTCTTCTTGGACAACAGCCGGAGTGAGTAGAGGGGAAGCGAAGATAGACTCATCCTCAGACATGTCGGGAATATCTTCTATCATAGTACCGATGTCTGGAAGAGTGGGAGTTTCTCCGAAGTTGCCGTCTGCTTCGACTTCCTCCTCGTACTCATCCTCTTTTTGTTTCTTAACAGAAAACCCATTTTGAAAGCTGGGAGAGGCGGAAACAGGAGCTACTTGTCCAACAGCCTCAATGGCCGCCTTCTTGAATGCCGTTGCGAGTTTCGAATCCGTACGATTTTCACTCAGTGCAAAGAACGAATCCACCGAGCCATCGGTGAACCCCGCTGACGGCAGCAGCGTTGTTTTAAGGTCAGGCATCTCGAAACTTGAAGATGAGTCTAACTCAGCACAGGCATCCACGAGTGATCGAAAGACTCCCCCCATCGCTGGTCGCGCATCAGGAGAAACTGTACAGCAACTAGACAGTATTTTCTCCACTGGAGAAGTTTGCTTCCAGTCCCAAGGCGATCGACCGAATCTTAACGCATCCAGTAGTTGAGCATCATACTTAAGCGAAGGGAACGGACCTTGATTAAAGAGTATCTGCTCATGTCTCAGTCAAATGCAAGGATGTTTGCGTTGGAGAAGCACAACGGCTCACCGTGGTGCAAATGCAGGCAAAGGAGTAAATATCGCCAGACGTCGTCTTGTCACCACTCTCTACAAGTTCCGGGGCACAATAACGCAACGTGAATGCAGGCCCCGACGATGTATACCCTGTCGTCAATCCGTCCGCAATCAAAGATAGCCCGAAGTCACACAACTTGGCACGCCCAGCCTCGCTGATTAATACGTTAAGCTAAATGGTATCAATTACTTTAAATCGACTTCGTGGACAGTACATGTTGACCTACAGGCTTCAGATCGCCGTGGACTACAACAGGTTTACGTTCGTGGAGGTAGGCCAGACCACAAGCGACATCGAGAAGCTATTCGGTCATATGCATCTTCAGTCCAAAAGACCAGTGTTATCGCTGATACCACTCACCAGGGGAAGCCGACGGCAGGTCGGTTTTTCATCCAGATAATCAACAAGATTCTTGTTTGAGCACCATTCGGACACCAACGCCGCTTCCGGTACTGCACCGCGAACTTCAATCGCAAACCCGATGAATTTCACGATATTTTCATGGTCTAAGTCCTTCCATGCCCTCATCTCTCTCTTCAGATGCTGGAGCAGTACATGAGCATTCACTGCTATCAATCTAGCTAGGGAAAGGGCCTCACTTTCATGGATTTTCTTATTTCCTCTACGACAGACGGCATGTTGCTGATGGGTGGTTTGAGAACTTTGTAGCAGACCTCAATGGAAGAAGTGAAACGAAACAGTCAACATGTCAGTTCAAGAGAACATACATTTGCTGGAGCTTGGGCGCCAGATTGGAACCATTCGGCACGATAGACCTCGGAGTAGCCGCCTCGTGCAATCAGAATCTTGGTACCAAACTGGTGACTAAGATTCTGAACATCCCGGATTGTGGATAGGGCTGCCATCACGACTGACGAAGCAGAATCCATGGCGTAATTGACTAGGTGGGAAAATGACTGTGCCTGGATGTACAGGCGCACCAAGGTGTGCGTTGAGAGTAGGCTCCTTGCAGACTGCTACTGCTAGAGCACCCAGCTATGAGAGCTTCTCGGAAGGAAAGAGCTCGGTTGATGAAGTTGTAATCGAGATGTCCAGCGAGAGGAAGTTGGACAGGCTGTGTGCCCAAATATAATCACATTGGCCGCCCACATGCACGTTTTTTCCATGTGGCCCATCCACAGGAAAACGCGAGAGGCAAACCCAAAAGGCAACAGTATTGAAAGCTCGTATGCGCGCGCTTACGCCTCGTGCCACGGTCCGGCATCCGGGGCGTCCGATTATATTTCCTCCCACCGTGAATCGGACTTCCCCTCCCGTGAGAAGGATTCTCTCCTGTCTTAGGCGCCACTGGATTAGGCAGGACTCCAGCCTCTATGACAAACAAACAATATATAGAAGTACTTGATCGCCTCCGATATGATCCCCGATGAATATGGGTGACTAGAGGATTGAGAGTGCTAGCTCTCCTCAGTGTTGGAGGAACAACTTCGAAGCCTATATTTACTATTATCTGTATCGACTTTCCTAATTCATGAGTTTGCATGTCGCTCACGATTGATCTTCAACTATTGCCTACGCATGATCTGTCACGCGAAATGATTCAAAGAGATCGTCTCATCTCAGGCTTCACTCTCCGAGTGAGACCCGCTGCCCAAGTCAATTTGACGTCGCCTTCCACCCGAGCTCACACCGTCAATCCCGTGTAGGTTTACCCGCCAGAACTAGCATGGGCCGATCGCTCGGCACCAGAGTCCCCTACAACCACGCAACTTTGGCCAACATCCGGCCTGAACCCTGCATTCAGCGCTGGCAACCAGATCGGTGACTCGGAGCGACTACGTAGGCATCGCCCTTCCGGTTATTATGCAAGGACACTTTTTTTTTTCAAACTGCTGCCATGGGGTTCTTACACTGCTTATAATACAAGTGTGAGTGTGAGAAAGGGTTTTGGCCTTTCATCTCTTCACCTTTGCTGCGGCCGCTCCCTGTTAGCTCGTCTCAGTGAGCGAAATCGAGCAAAACCTATTGACTCAGACTGACGCAACGTTCAAGTTATTGCCGCTTGCTGCCCTTGCCAAACGCCATTTGCTATCACACCAGTTCGCTGTCAAGCCGGCGCTCTTGGCCGCTGTGTCGGCCCTTTTCCTCCCCCTTAATCTTCACGACGCTCCACCCCTTCTTTGATCTGATTCGTGTTTTGTCGATGGTTGCTTCCCTGTCTCTTTGTTTGCTTCGTTGATTCTACGTTGACAACTCCACTTGCCTCACCAATGACCGCTTGCTCGCTCTCTCCTTGATTCCTGTCTGCTTACCTCATTGCTAACTGCTTCAGTCATTTGGCTGCTCCATATTCCGTATTTCCCTATTGCCCCATTGCCGCCCGTTCTTCATGCACTCTGTTTGCCTCGCTGTCGACTGGTTTTCCATGTATGCGGGTCACGCATTGCTAGCATCACAATGGCCATTTTCCGCTAGAAACCCCCTCGGTCAGCAAATCTTGTCTCGAATGTGTATCCACATCTTGATAAGAACATACAACGGAATTTGACCATATAAGTATTGGGTGCCCAAGTAGGTCATACGTACACGCCCAAGTGACCTCAAACGACAATGAACGAAACCGAATCAGTCAAGTCAAAAGCTTGCCAAGAGAATTATCTTAGCAACTAAGATCACCCAAGAAATACCATGCGAGTTCCTACATGGATCTCCTCCACATCGGTTAGGGCGGGATATCCCATTTTAAATAAGGGGGAATGTAGGTTTCTAGCGGAAAACGGCCATGGTGGTGCTAGTGATGCGTGATCCGCATACATAGAAAATCAGTCGACAGCGAGGCAAACGAAGAACATAGAGTACGTAGAGGAGCAGGCGACAATAGAATACATAGCGGAGCAGCCAACATAGTATAGCAACTGAATTAACAAGCAGACAGGAATCGAGGAGAGAGCGAGGAAACAGACATCGATGAGATAAGCGGAGCAGTCAACGTAGAGAAAAAGTGAGTCAATTAGCAACGAAGCAAAGGCGAAGAGCAGGTAAGCAACCATCGACGAAACACGAATCAGATCAAAGAATCGTGAAGGTTAAGCGGGACGCGAAGGGGCGACACAACGGCTAGAGCGCCGGCTTAACAGCAAACTGGCGTAATAGTAAATGGCGCTTGGCAAGGGCAGCAGCGGCAATAACTGGACATTGCGTCAGTCTGGGTCAATAGGTTTCGTTCGATCCCGCCAGTGAGATGAGCTAACAGCGAGCGGCCGCAGCAAAGGCGAAGTGATGGAAGGTCAAACTCCCTTGATACATGCAGTGTAAGAACCTCATGGCAGTAGTTCGAAAAAAAAAAGTATCCTGAATTGAGTACAATAACGGGGAGGGCAATGCCAAGCTAGCCGCTGACTCGCTCCGAGCCGGCCAGTACAGCAGAGACGTTTCAAATGGGGACAGTTGCCAGCTTTGCATGAGTGCAGCGTTGAGGCCGGATGTTGCGTACGAAACACGCATTGGCACAGCGCCCGGCCAATTGAATCCAGATGTGCGTGCGCGTAGAGTGTACGCCTGAACGCATCCACAACGCAACCGTGCTAACTTACGAAAAAAAGACGTGGTGTGGAATCGAATGAAAGATTGCTATCGATACACAGTTATTGCACAGCTGGTCAAAAAAGAAAGAGAAAAATATGGCACCCAACGGCCAGCGCCATGAGCGCTATCACTTCCCGCGGGACAGAACCAAGAATGAAATGAAATGAATGGATTGGAGTTTAGGATCGTATAAAGCTGACCACTGCGAAGCTTGAAAAAAAAACGGATAATTTGAAGATTGCCTATTGGTATGCGGCCCAGTTCATGAGGAAGAGTTGAGAATACGTGACGGCGAGCAATGGATAGTGTAAAGAAATGAGATGGAGAGGGCAACTTGTGTGCGTGAGTTAGATCATGGGCCGTGCATTCCGGCCCGTTCCCCGCCCGTCCCGACGCCGCCCGAGCCCATTCCCGCAATGCAAGCGTGAGCGCGAGCCCCAACCTCAGCCCTATCCTCCCTGAGGACTCCCTGCTCACTCCCCTGCTTGCCCCTAGGCTCCCCTGCACCTGGCCGACTCCCCCACAGCCACACCAACCTTCCTGCCATGAGTCCGCCTCCGGCACCGTGCCCAGCGTGACTCCTCTACCCCGCCCACTTGGCCCCTACAGGGCCGCTACCATTCCCGCGCCCGACTCCGGCCCAACTCCAAGTCCAGCGCTGCTACAATACCATTGCCGCTATCGCGGCCCTATGCTCCTTCCTTTATTTATCTGTTATTGTTTGTTTTGACCCTCGGTCATTGCCGGCCGCTGTGCGGCCAACCCCACTCCTTATCCATGTTTGCTTCCGGACCCTTCGGCCTTCAGCCCGGGTCCGCTTCCATTCATTCCTTCCTCCTATGTATATCCTGTATACTACATTATAGTACTTTAGCTCTAATATCAATTTGACCATGACCCCTTAAGTCCTGACCCCAGCAAGGCAACCCCAGTAAGTCTAAAATGAGGGCCAAGAGACAGCTAGGGGGCACAGTGCTCCTTTAGAGTCGCTGAGTGTCAGGGACAGCTCCGAAAGCGGTGAGGTCCCGGCGCAAGGGACTCGATGGGACAGGTGTCGGCTATGTGTAGCGGCGGTCCTGTTGCGGGGTGAGCATCCCTGACCACTTAGTCTGAAGTGGGAAGTTGTCAGAACCGTGTGAATCTTCGCTGATGGTAGCCGTAGGCGACCGAACATTGCCTGCTAGTGGTAAAGGCGTCCTACGCACGACCGAGCTTTAGCGAGGGATAAACCCCACCGATCTCGAGGCCGAGGCTACTTAGGCGAGTGAGCCGGGATTTCGGCTTCAACGACTTGAGGAGGAGCGTTGCACCTCGTTCTCGATGCGGTCCCGATACTTCAGAAGGTCGGTGTCAGAACCGTGCGAAAGTTTGCCGAGGGTAGCCGTAGGCGACTGAGCGTTGCCCGCTAGTGGTAAAGGCGTCCTACACCCGACCGAGCTTTAGCGAGGGATAAACCCCACCGATCTCGAGGCCGAGGCTACTTAGGCGAGTGAGCCAGGATTTCGGCTTCAACGACTCTAGGAGGAGCGTTGCGCCTCGTTCTCGACGCGGTCCTGATACTTAGAAGGTCGGAGGTCTCACGGGGACAGAGGTAAGCTTTAGGGGGTAATTCTAGTTGATTTCGAACTCCAGTACAAGCATTAGTTACAAGCTGTATATAAGCGCTAGGAAACTGAATAGGGAATAAGTCGCCAGATCTCGCGGAGATTGCGGGCAGAGAAAAGAAGGAGGAAAACAAACAAAGAGCACGTGTTCAAGATGACGAAGGTCAAGCGTGACCTTCGCCGCGAGGTAACAAGGTGCGGCGAAACATGGGACAACAGGTCGCGGCGCTCTGCACCGCTAGGTCGTTCAACGACAATCAAGAGAGGGGTTGTGGAGAGGTGGCGGGAAGTGGTTAGACGGCGACGGGCGGCGAGCGGAGTGTGCGGGGAGTGTTCGGGCGTGGGAGAGGGTCAGGGAGGAGGTCGTCTGGCCCCGGGGAACGCCAGGTCGTGACAGTCGGAGGTCTTATGGGGGACAGAGGTAAGCTTAGGGGTTAATTCTAGTTGATTTCGAACTACAGTACAAGCATTAGTTACAAGCTGTATATAAGCGTGTCAGAGACCGGATTCGAGATGAGGGAGTGTCTCCGTAGTGGAGGGCTTTGGCCTCAGCGACTTATGCCAAGAGCGCTGTGCCTAGTGACACGTCTGTGCCTGTCAGGGATGCGTCCGGGGTAGAGGGGGTCCGGATGTATCACCCGGCAGAAGGGCCCTCGCGGGGTGCAAACCGGGCGTGCATGCTGGCGGGTCCGGGAAGGGACAGCAGTCCCTGGCCACTTAGACTGAAGTGGAGAATGTGAGAAGAAGGTTACTTCTTCGGTTCCCACTTCAGGTACATTTATGTACATGCAGCTTGAGTCACATGACGAGTGCCACGTCACCCTCGGAGACAGCTGCAGGCATCCGGGTATCCCTGTGGGGGATCCCGAGAGCATCCGCTGCATGCGTGCGTGCTGGGCACAGCGGGGAGCCGTCCGGGGTGTGTGGGCCGGACGGGTCAATAGTACATTGATACAAAGGAGGGTGGTCCGTGTAGATAGAAGGAAATAAACAAGAAAAGGAAGATGAGAGGAATGAGATAAAGAAAGGGGAAGAAAGAGAGAAAGGAAAGAGGAGGAGAGACAGAGGAAGGAAGAGGGAGAGGGTTGGACAGCGGGGAGCGGGTGTGGTGTGGCCGGGTGGGTCCGGGTACGTTGGGGGAGGGTTCAAGTACATAAGTGCTCGTTCCTGACATTGAATCTTATGATGCTCATGAGCATCATCGGTCATTGGTTTTATCCATCGACATGCGAGGATGTACATCCGTGCAATACGAGCCAGGGGGTACTGGTCAGGAAGTCTTTTCGCCTCCATCTCAATGTCGTCACACGACATACGCATTCATGAGGCACGGTTGTTTGTAGCCACCCTGTACCAGTCGGTACAGGTGTCAACATCCTCTTGCGAGGGCTTGCCCATCTTGAACAACCAGGCAAGATGGTACATTGTAGCATAGAATCTCACACCTTCTTCGGTGTGTATGTAGTTTCAAACCAACTTGAACCACTTAGGTTCTTTGTCGCAGAGGAGTGCAGCTGCATCTGGGAATTTGATTCTATCGACATGGTCAATGTCATAGAAGCGGGTAGGAAGGGCCACCGATTGACAATATGTCAGTGGGGGTAGGGGTTCACCATGCACTTCAGTGAGTTTGGTGTCGTAGTACTTGTAGTAGTGGTAATGTCAGGGTTCAGCACCCTGCCTTAGGGTGCCCCGGACTCCCCACCTACTTTACCCCCTTTTATTCTTTGACTGTTGCCTTGTTGTTGCCTTTGTGTGTTGTGTACACGTGTGTGCACGGGATAGCGTGGGAACTTTCTGAGCGAGCAGCTCGCCCAGAATGTTCCCACGGGTCACAGCCACAGTTCTGGGCGAGCAACTCGCCCAGAACGTTCCCACGCTTACTGGGCACTGCCACCTGGATGTTCCCTCCGGGTCACACTACACAACTCTAGGAGCTGTATAGTTGTGGGCATGTGACCCATTCCTTTATATAGCAACCATGCGGGGAGATGAGACCTTTACCCTTCTTCTCATCTCATGCCCCGCATAGTGTGAGGACAGGTTAGATGGGGGTTGAGGTCAGGGAGCCTCCGAGTCCGAGGCCGGGCCCTGACAG